GGTGCTGCTGCCCGGGGAAGGCCGGCACCCCCGCCGCCCCGCTCCCCTGCAGCCGCCCCAGCGTGGTCCCACACCCCGTTCTGCCGCTGCCGGAGCGGGATCCCGGCAGCAGCGCTTCTGCACAGCGACCTGACTGGAAGCTGTGTTTTCGAGAAAAAAACCCGCCCCAGGCAGAAGTTTATGGGAATGTGTCCTCTGCCACCTTCTGTGCCAGGCGGGACAATGTTTAGCTGCACCGCCGAACTGCAGGCAAAGGGAGATCTGTCCTTGTTTCTTGCACAGGTGCCTAGACCCCACAGGCATCCAGTGGAAATGGAGCCCCTAGGTCACCTGTGAAAAAACCTTCTCTACTCAAGACCTTTATGCCTCCAAAATCAAAGCTGCCTGGGCCAGCGTTGTGTCCTAGAGCTGCGAAATGGACACAGAGTCCAGAGCTGAACTTGAAGCGCAGTGAGAGTTAGGGGATGGGGAAGCCCTGTGCAATCAAGGTTAACAAAAGCGTTGGATCTCCACCTCAAAAGGGCAGGAGATGGTGGAGGCAGAGGTTTGATTCAAGTCCGTCTTCAGTCACTGCAGAAGCTTTGTCCTAGAAGGAGCCCCTGACTTGTGAAACTTGCAGACAGATCCATTCAAGTGAAAACAGCTGGTTGCTTTCGGTGATGTTGCTAGCCAGCTCCTAATTATTTTCATTTAAACAAAGCACTTTGCTTCTCCTGTCTCATCTGCTCTTCTTACTTTTTAATTTCAGAGAAGTCAGAATAAAGCAGGCTTTGACAGTAACACTGTTTCACAGAACAAACAATAACACAGATAAAAGCCGTCCCATATGCTTCTGGTCATGCAAATCCCAGATTGGAAAGTAGCTACCCTGACAGCGTGCCTCTCTGAGGGCTGAGAGAAAAAGTCTTAGCCCGGAAGGGTGGGTTGTAGATTCTGCCTGTCAGTCTCCATGGAGGAAGGAAGAGGGGCCTATGCATAATAATAAACCTGATTGTGAGCAGTGGTGCACGGGAGTAACTCTGCTCATGAGCATCTCCACCAAAGTAGCTGAGGTTCTTCCAAAAAAACACAGCCATGCTGAAACTGCCCATCAAATGTAAGGACCCAGCAGTGACTGTGGGACCTTTGCTACTCTTCCAGCACAGGCAGAGGGGCAGCCCTGGCATAGGCAGGTTTCTGGCTGCTAAAAATATAATTTTTACTCCTGACAGTGTCGTGAAAGTGTTTTGCTATGTAATGTGGCAGACAACAAAGTCCAAACCTAGCTAATGCTTGGAATTGAACTGCTATAAGTGAAGTGGACTATTTTCAGAACAGGATTTTTCAAAACAGAGTTTAGTCAGCAGTAACCTTCCCTGACTCCCAACAGCCAAGTGAGGCATGCAGGTAGAGAGTACCTAAGAAACAAACGGCGAAAACACCAGGATGGGGGCAGCTAAGTGAGCTGGTTACAAAAAGAAATGAGAGACATGTTTGATGATTAAGCACACTGTAAAGGAATCCTAAAGTCTTTGACTCACTTTCCTCCATTTTTCTATAAATAGTTTCCCTTTCCAAGCAGAAGCAAGACTAAAACTCTTGGGGTGAACTCCACCTGAGTGGCTACACCATGCTATACTGGGAAGGCAGGAGAAGAAAAAGATTGCTCCCTTGAAGCAGCAATCTGAAGTCTAGAAATTCAGTGCTCTCTTCACACACAGCCTGCTCTCCTGGAGCAGGAGGAGTCTCCTGTCTTGGCAAGGAGCGCATTACGGTGGTAAACCTCATGTTGGGGCTGATCCAGCGCTTGCCAAAGACAGGAGGAACATTTCCACTAGTGTATGGGAGCTCTGGATGAGGCTTTTCCACAGAAGAGGTAAATGACCTCTTTCCTCCAAAATGCATCACTGTTGCTGCTCCAACGGCAGTGGGAGGATAAAGTCAAATGGACACTGCTTTTCTGTTTCATATAAAGCATCACCTGACCCTGTTCAACGTAAGATGAGAAGAGATCCCTGTAAAAGCATCAGGAAATTTCCAAAGCCCTGCCCATTGCTGCACTTGTACAGCCACAGCAACAGGAACCATAGAAGGAAGATCAGGAGTTGGGTTTCCATTGATCAGACAAACCTTCAAGCAACTGGCCCTCTGAAGTAAATAAGCTTTCCAACATGAATGATGCAAAATTTTATATTTCCTTATAAAAATGCATGTCCCCAGAGGAAAGTAGAAGCCTTAGGTATAAAACATCAATGTTTGTATGAGTGTAAACAGCTATAAAAGGATCAGATACTCCACATACAATGCTGCTTTATCTTCTTGCAGAGGCTTCCATCATGACTGTATCTGAGTTCCTCCGTATTTTCTCTTGGGTACTTTTTGGCACTATGTTCTGCCTAGTTTCGAATTAAGCAATGATTCTTTTGCCTTTTATTTTGGGACTCTATTCCACAATTAATCCTAGCCAGCTTTTTCAAACAAGAAGTTCACATGTCAGGAAAATGACATAATTGTTTTTCTTTACAGTTTTCACAGCATGTTCATAATTTTGGTAGGAAAAGTTTGGGTTTTTTTATTTACCCAAACCACATTTTTATAAATGATTTATTAAACTTTTATACCCTAACTAATTATGAGAATCCTAAAAAAGTGTTGAAATTCCTAAACTTATTCCTTTTTTAATGAGCAGCACAACCTTCAAAATTTAATCTTATTTCGATGGGAGAGGCAGCCATCTTATCTTCAGCTCTGCCTGTAAAGCACCAAAGTCAGGTAGTTCCAGCAAGTAACAACTGAAGTTTCATGCCTGGAAAGCTTTTGGTGGTATTCAGCCTTTATTTTAAATTTCAACATCCTGTTCTACTTTTGTGCTTTCTACAATCCAAAATAATCTCTTGCTTTGGCACTTAGATGAATTGCACACACAAACAACATGCACAGATAATTATAGCAATAATCTGGGCCATGCTTAGCTGTGCTTTGTTAAAGAAATTAAAAAATATCCCTTTCCATATGCAACTTATTCTTCATAAAGAAAAAATAATATGTATTTGGAAAAAATACACCATTCAGTAAAGCTTTCTATTGAAATGACACAAAATAATTATTATATGATTAATTTTCAGAGGGTTCTTCTCAAGCAGCTGCAATGTAATTTCTTTAATTCAGTGGATTTACCTTAAGTAAGGTGATACCATTCACCACTCCATTTCACAGCTTCACTGGGGCCATAAAACCAGTGTCTCTGCCTCCAATACTATTTCAGAAATAGAATGGGAATACTTTACTTGCCTATTTTGAAGATAAATATATGTTTGTGTTTCAGGAGCTGATGTCAGACAAGAGTTTCTGCCAAAATGCTCATCCCCTTTGTTAAAATGTTCCGAGCTGATGTGCTAGAAAAGTGTCCAGAAATGAAAAAATCATTCTATCAGAGTTGCAATTCTCATTAGTATTTGAGTACAGTATATTCACATAACAGGAAGTTTAATATTCACATTTTAGAGGACATTTCATGCTTTGCAGAGTGCATTGCAGGGAGTACTTGCTCACTGCTGAAATATGGTTCCCTCTCTAGTGGATGCCATCAGACTGGTAGGTTACACATGACAAGTCATTTAGTGAACGCATTGCCACAATATGCCATTGGTCAAAAATAGATCAGTCTCTGATATGACTAATGAGAACATTCTTAATGTACATTAGGAAGGAAATAAAATGAGTGTTGATTCCCACGCCTCAGAAAATCAGTCCAGCATAAATCAGGTCAGGAAAGAAAAATCTTCCTCTATGAACAGCTGTGGACTTCTTTCAAGCTTCACCAGTACTGGCTATTGTTAGAAATCAGGCAGAGAGACAAACGACTGGTCTAAGCTAGGTTCGTGATGAAGAACAGGAAAAACAGGAGTCAGAACGGAATGGAGAAATGGAATAATAATTTGTCCCAGTATAATCTCATGTCATATTTTGTCATGAAAATTATGTCAGATTAAGTAGAATTTGGAATCAGAAGGACGAATCTGACAGATGTAACGCAGACTTGAGATCACCTTGTGATTATGACAAGCAGAATGTTGCTTAAAACAGAGAACACGGGGAACTGTAAAGTGAGGAGCTGATTACGGGCTTGTAGGGAGGTTAGTAGTCTGTGATCATCTAGGGAATGGTAGCATGTAAGGTTTGCACAAATGATGTCTAAAAGAAGTAGACAGAAGCATGCATGTTGAAATTATGTGACCTTATCAAATTAGCGTAAGATTGGGATAACGTGGGAAAAAACTGAGGACCAAGTAACAAAAGTGGAGCAGAACTTAGTAAAGCTAAGTCATGTACTTGGGGATTAGTAAGAATTTCTTTGATGCACTAGGAACTGAACTGCAAATGACAAAGAAGGGAAAACACCCAAGTATATTATCTGATTATAACCTGACATATAATCACATGCGAAAATACCATGAAGAAGGACAACATAATTGTGGGATATACCAGGCAAGGTATTTCTAGTCAAACCTGGGAAGTACCGTGAGTATTTCACGGGAATCAGTCTATAATTCCAATCATCCACTTTAAAAAAAAAAAATCACAAGCAAACCCAAAATTTAGACTGGAACCAATGCAGAGGAGGGCTGCTAAGGTAGATAGGGAAGCAGAGACGCTAACAGAGCTGGGCTTATTTAGCTCAGCAAAGCGAAGGCTGAGACACCAGATAATTGCTTTTTCTATGAGGTCGGGAAGCAAGCCCTAGAGAAGAAAACAATATATAAACTTAAAGTTGGCACAGGAACAAATGGTCATAAATTTGCTAGTGAAATAATTTTGTCTGGAAATCCTAAGAAGGATGCAAGTTGCCAGAAGAGCTGGATGTGGAACAGCTTTCCAAAAGATATTCTTGGCTCTTGCTCCAAGTTAGCTTTAGATAATGCTTGTTCAGACTGACAAAAGGTTATGTGATATTGGGCCTATGACAGCAGCAAGGTGTCCACTTGAGCCCTATTTGATTAATTAGTGAAAGCAAGAATACTAGAGCAGACTTACTGAAGGAGGGCCTTATAGCATCTTTAACGTTCACATAGAGACAGAAGATGTCAGGCTCTAAAAGCTCATTCAATAGCTGCACACTGAATGGATGCCACCAGTTTACCTGCTATGGACCCGCATGCCGGCACAGATTATGGTGCTGTTGTGCCAGCATGGTGGATTCTTACCATGTTTTCTTTCCTTTGCAGATGTGTGTGAGGCTTTAAATGTGACAGTCTCGCCGGGACCAACAGTGCAATACTCCGAGGGAGATAATGCTACCCTTTACTGCCACATTTCTCAAAAGAGAAAGACAGACAATTTGCTGGCTGTGCGGTGGGTCTTCGCTGCATCACCTACCCAGGAGTATCTGATGATCAAAATGACAAAGTTTGGATATGTCCAGTATTATGGAAATTATACTCATCATTTCCACAAGCAAAGGCTTCACCTTCTTAAAGAGAAACATGGAACTATGTACAAATTTCTTATTCTAAGCCTCCAGCAAACAGATCAAGGACATTATATATGCAAAGTCCAGGAAATTGGCAAACACAGGAATAAGTGGACAGCATGGTCAAATGGCACAGCAGCTACTGAAATAAGAGGTGAGAAAACACATTTCAGTTCTATAATTTTTCTTGTCCCATGATCCCTTTTTTCCTCTCTGGCAAGTTTATCCAGAAGACATTTAAATTTAGGTTATTTTTAAGTGTTATCTGTGGATATGAGTAGAAAATCTAATGCTCAGCTTCTTTACTTACACATTACAATGTAAACATTATTCAGCCCATAATAAAATGTGAAGAAGTGAGAAGATTGGTAGATTTGTAGAAGATAGTCTATTTCCTGTGCCTTTTACCAGAATATTGGTAATTAAAACTCCTTTACATTCAGCTACAGGTCTCTACAACTTTGCTAGTGAGAATAAACAAATGTTATTATTATTTAATGACAAAGAGACAGAAACAGAAAGAAATGAACTTATTTTCTGAAGAATATGTAGTGAGTCAGCCAGAAATAGAAGTTTTGTATTTTAGATCTCTGTTTTGTCTCTCTCTTGATATTTTCATTGCTTTTAGTTCTAGTTGAGCAACAGTTGGGAAGTAGTATTTCCAGTATCAGTTCTGTGCTTTTATTTAGAACACTTTTATCCAAAAAGCAGAGCTAGAAAAGCAGTGACCAGTCTGCTGGTATTGACCTTCAGATAAAGAAATAACCAGCAAGGATTGAGGGTTTTGGATCATAGATCTCATTCTGAAAACGGGCCTTCTCTTTGGGACGGGAGAGTTCAAATCTAATGCCACCACACCCACACTTTCAGAGGTGGGTGAAAGTGGATTTCAGAGAACAGACTCCTTTGAAGAGGTGGTTGAGCTCAACATTTGTGCCATTAGCGCCAGCTAGAAAACTAGCCCCCTGCTTGTGGCTTTATAAACAGAAAAGTTGATTTTCCACAGGGCCAGCTCTAAAGATAATGCAAAAAATCAGGGGTGACTGCTTGGTCCATGGGTCTGGAAATTCAAGAGGCTCATCCAGCAACGACAGAAAAAATTGTGGGAGAAAACCATACTTCATGTCCTTCATGAACCGTAATTAAAGTTTCTGCCATTCCTATTCATGCTACATTTATCGTTGTGTGTAGACCTCAAAGGTTATTCCTGTAGCTGGGAAGCTCTAATCCCATGTCTTTACCTTACGTTTTAGTGAAAATGGCCCTAGCTCTGCTCTGAAACCAGTTTTGCTCTGAGGGAACTCCTTGGACTACAGGCGTTTTTCAAGATGGATTTGAACACATTTATGTAGTCTTAATCCAAAGCACTTTCCTTCAATGTCAGCTTCACTGGTGTCATTCAGATTTCCGTATTTCTATACCAGGCATTGTTACTTCCAACAGTGCTTCAAATGGATGGCCAGGGCTGAAGCTTTGCAGTCCTGCAAACAGGGCTAGGAGGCCACCATACAATCCTGGAGTCTCCTAGAGGACAGACCACAACTTTCTCCAGTACTTTGGGGAAGAAATTCTGTGGATAACTTGAGGGATGGGCGCTAGAGGGCCATGTCTGGTGTCAAGAGACAGAGAGAAGCAGTGAAGGAGGAAAGTACTGTTCCATCTGGGGGCTAACATTATACTCACTGTACTACCCTTCCCCTCAGAGCCTCTGCACCAGACCAGTTAGCACAAGAGTAGTACAAGAGTAGTACACTGAAAGGTAAAGTGAATAACGAGTAATGTGTTTCTTGCATGAAGGACTTGCAAAATAGACCAACAGATGTACCCAAGATATGCAGAACAAGTAGTAGGCTTGCAGGATTTAAAAAAAAAAAAAGAAAAAAAAAGAAAAAAGCGAGAAAATCAGATGGAGAATAATTTTTAGGATGTTCCTGTGATAATTTCATTTCATATGGCAGGTCAGCAGTTTAAAGAGTGTTTTCTCATTCACTGGGTGATGGAATTTCTTAAATGTCTGTAGTGAAACTTACGGACTTGTCAGGAGTGCTTGGAAAGACAATGAAATGTTCCAGGTAAATGTCAGCAGAAGAAAAAGCAATGCAAATTATTGTCAGACCACTTGTCATCCCCTCCCTCACAAAAAGCCACTCTGCATCTTTCAAGGCTACTCAGGTTGTTGACAACTATAACACAAAAACCTCTCATTGCTCTTCCTAGCTAAACTGTGGGGTTCAGATCAATTTAGTTATCCCCCCCCCCCCCAGTTTTTAGGGTTTATGAGTATATAGTCAGGGTGGGGATTTGCGACTCACAACTTTATCTTTCTGACAGTGTCTGGTCAGCTGTATTGCTTCTCTCTGCATCAAACGTGATCGAAGCAGAGCAGGAAGCCTGAGACCAGGGAGGACGGCAGGCCCACCTGTACACTAAACACACCGACAGTACGCCCCGTGGGGATCCGAGGCAGACACCACCACCACCCAGCCCCCTCGAAAGACCGTTTATTCTAATGCTAAATCCAGATTAAAGATACTAAAAGACATCTGGCAAATAACAGATCTTTAAATGCCATAGCAATTGTTAGCTGCTAAAAGCCTCTCTACTGGAAACAAAGGACCGCCTCAGCTAGCATTCGGTTATTGCACCGTGAGTGTACAGGACTTGCTACACGTGGGAGGGAAGGCAACACTTTTCAGAATGGTGGTAAAGTTCCCAACTTCCCAAAAGAGAACACTTGGGCTTTTTGAGGAAATTTTCTTCCAAACACATTTTGTGGTTTATATTATGATCAGTTACGCTTTTTATTGCAATGGGATTTACTTACATTACAGTTAGATCCAGGATGCAACAACAGGAGCAATGCAAATTGTCTGAAGCATTTGGATACTTAAATTGTACTGCTTGTGCTTTATCAAATAATGCAACACTATTTGAACAAATCACAGATGCTCTCTTGTCTAACATTTTATTCCAGTCAATGTGTCTGCAGTTATGCTCAAATTCAAAATAGTGTCTTTATGCTAAAGCACCAGGCAGATTTCTTACAACCTTGCACATCAAGTGGATGCTGAAATAGCATTTACGCCCCTTTTCTTGTTCACACAGGAAGAGGAGGTCACTGTGTAAGACAGAAATTTCCAGATGGAATGGAAAAGGGTCATTCTGCTTCTTCAAAATCTGACTTGCTCTTGTAGCAGAAAAACCGTGGGGCAGTTGAGTACACAGTCTTTTTCAGCCACCAAGCATAGCACTTCAAATCAAAAGACCTCACCAGGTTACAGCTGGGTCTGTAGTATCTACTGCTGTTAACTTATATTCAGATTTTGTAATGTGCTAGCAATTTTGCAGGTGTGAGTTTGTGTAGGCTATTAAGAAGTTGCAAATGTATTTGCTTGCAACACATGAATTTATATATATACACATATTGGAGTTGTGGAAGAACAATTGAGTTACAAGCTACAGTTCCTTAATGGGTAATGATGGTAGTTAAAAGTTTAGCTACATATCTGGCTTCTCCTTTAGGGACAAAATACATTTCTCCAGAAAAGGAGCCTCATCTGATGAGGATTGAGTCCTTACAGTCTTCCGTTTGTGGACTCACATGTCAACTACAGCAACTTTGCAGTTCTTTCAGAAGGCCCAGCTGAAATTTGAACTGTTGCAGTTTGCTTCTTTTGGTGTAGTGAATACAAGACACCAAATAGGATTTATAAAAAGGCTACTGTTAAATCTTGGTAATAAAACCAAGAGAAGTCCATGTCCTGATGTTGCCAAGAAGTGTCTCCTACTCCAGCCATTCAACATCTTCCCGCTAAGCTAAGGTGAACCTTTTCCCCTTCCACCATCTTGTTATCAAAGGCACCTGTTCTTTTCTTGTGCTTGTGTGGTCAATGTTAGCCTAAAACCAAGTCAGTGATCTTCATTATAGTACGGAATACACCAGAAAACAGTTTGAGAGGAAAAAAGGCATCAGAAAGATGTTTCTCCCACTGCCTTCCTATCAGAAAACTCAAAGTAGTGAGTAGTCTTCTCAGAATAATATGCAGCACCTCCAAACCATCATTTGCAGTTGGTAATCCATCAAGCCCACTGTGTGAGGTACTGCACATCTCTTAGGAAGAGCAATGCATGTTGCAAATTGTTTACAATTCAATAGAAGAGACTACATGTGGGAGGACAAACATGGAAAATTAGGCAGTCCAACTATAATCCTGCTGGCATGAACGACACAAACAAGTAGAGATATAAGAATCTGCCTTGTTGGGAAGTTTATGTGTCAGAGTCTGAGTTCTACTAAATATTAGTCACATGTGGCTTTTTCTAACCATAAAAAACTTGCAAGAGATAGGAATGCAAGATTTTTTTTTTCTCCCAAATGAACAAAAGTCCTTTTTTTTTTCAGGGAGGGTATTCTAAAATAATTGCCAAAAATCTGCATATGTGATGCTTTCATGTAACAAATGAGCAGGTCTGTTAAAATATTCAGGATGAGCTTCCCATCACAACTGAAGAGAAGACTTGATTAGTCCTGAAAGCAGTTCCATATCCATTGAGTTAGCCCCATGCCTCACATCCCTACAGGGCACTCCGTAATGAATTCCTTTGCAGTAAGATACTTGTTGTTCAGTGATTTGCCATGTGAACCTGTCTTGGAGGTTCAGACCTCACTGGCAATCTGAAGGACATCACCATACTCCTATTCCATTGCAATGGCTACTAGCAGAAAAAAATCATGGAATAACAGAAGTGAGATTATCTATTCTGATGTCATCAAAAAATGTCGGCATGCATAAACAATCAGGCTGAGGAGAGCAGAGAGGGTTTTGATCACTGATCCAGCAGTCAGAGCATCGGGATTCTAGTGCTAGGTTGTACAGCTGTTATGATATTGACGTTTATCCATTTGCTCAGAGCTCTGTAGTCTGTCCGCCTTCTGAAACTGAGGGGACAATTCTGTGCAAAATCTGCAGCTATTTTCCCTCATAATTGAGTTAGAACATAGTCATTCAGTCAGCCCTTTTTCTTGTCTATGAAGGCAAGCTGGTACAACTTGTGGTCATGCAGTCTTTCTTCTCAGGAGAAAACTCCCACCCACAGGCAGGGGAGTTACTCTGGCTGAGAACTGAAGCTGTTCTGCACTCAGCAGTCAATGGCCATTGATACAGCAGTGACAGAGCAGTTTGCATTAGTTGATATATTCAGGCTGATCTGTTCCTACACCTAAGCCAAGGACACTGGGCGTAGATAGATGCATTCTGCTTTACAGCTCAGATATGCAATCTCTGAAGCATTTGGACATGCTTCGAAGTCCATGCGTACATGGGTGGTTTTTATTGCAGATAGGCAGGTATCATATCCATGTATCTCTAAAAGGCACAGCACAGAAGCCAACTTTTGAGGGAATTAGGAAGAAAAAGAACTCATGAGCAGTACTCTCACTTGTGGTCTCTCAATGTGTTATTTGGGTGCTGTTGTAGGAACTGCAGGGCAGTTCAATCTGCCAAGGGACATCCACAAGAGCTTTGAAAGGAGGGCAATTTGGACAAAATTAGGGGCCTACAGAGTCAGTCTGGAAGCTGGGGAAATGCTATTATATTGGCAGAGATCACTCCAGTGGCAAGCATTGCTAGAATGACTTCACTGTTTTTTTAAAAAATCTGTGCCTAATATGTCTGGCTTCAAGTCAATTCTCAGGAAGCCTTGAGAGGTGTGTCCTTCAGTAAAGCTACTGCTCTTCCAGTTATATTTTTCCTTAACACCTAAGACTTAGAAATAGGCTACAGTGTTAAAAATCCTTCTTAATGTATAACTACAAGGGAAAATAAATTCCCATTCTCTTGAGCAAAAGTTGTTCATCTCTCTCATAAGTAGCCTGTTTTCGGACAGAAACACAAATTGCAACCCTAGAGGTACAAGTTCTGGGTAACGCAGAACACAAAGTCAGAATAAAACCAGCTACATACCACATTAATGCCAGCTTTTTCCCTGGGATACTCAGACCATCTCCACAAAGCCATTACAGACCTTACAAGCACAGTGCCACCCTATTTTAAGGCCTAGGCTCTTCTAAAGTGTATTTCTATCCTCTTGTTGTACTTCACTGCATTTAACTTTCAATTGAAGAGCCACACATTGCATCTTCCCAGAAGATGACAACAGGGACGCAGTCTCACAAGCCATAAAGGATTCGTGAGGGGTGCCAAGCCAGATGAGCTTTGCTAGAAGACATTTTTATAATGCTGTTTTAGAACTGAAGTGTTTCATTGAAAGGTAATTATCCTGTGAGATAAAGCAAGATCTTGGTGCACTGAAGCCTAAGGCAGAACTATGTTTACTTCAAGAGGTCTCAACATTTTATGTCACACATTTTCAGTTCTTGTCATGTCGTCTTTGTTTTTTTTCAGTGATTTCATCAAAATCTTCTGATCATCCCACTTTCAAGAAAAAACATGAAGCTTGGAAGTTTTTTGAAGGTAAAGATGCATGTAACTGCTACTCGTTGTATACAAGATGTCACTTTAGTTCAAAGCTACAGTACAACTAAAGTGCCCCAGTCAGGCCCAGTTTTGCTAGTTCCTGTGCAAACTCATGTCTTGTTTGAGAAACCATGCCATAGAGTACAGGACGTGCTGGAGAAAAGAGAATGGAAGGCTCCAGCTTCAGGTTCTCATACATTTGTTATGGTCAATGGGAAAATAACCTGTGCCTGGCTAATCACGCAATGCAAATAAACTCCCTTATCCAGGAAGGTGCTGAGTGTGTCTGAAGAGGTACCAAGCACTCTGCACTCCCACTAGCCTTAGAGACTGTTCACCTGACATGCTCTGCACTGCAAGAGCAGCCCGCCTGCTGCCCCAATCCAGAGCAGCAGTGAAGCACCAGCATGGCCTCTGCAGCCACTCCGCTGCGCTGCCTGCCAGGCCGTAGTGCTCACATGCAGGCTGGCCTTGATTCTGCAGGGACCCTTGCTGTTTAAACCACACTTTACAAACTATATAGTGCTGTGTATGGGCAACGAAGCACAGAACTGTGGGTCAAGGGTCTAGCTCCAGCAATGCTATTTTCTACAAGAACGCTTGACCTCTGAGGCTTAGTTTCCTCTCTGTGAAGCAGGAAAGAAGCCAATATACCCCCCTAAGGACATTTCAAGACACTAATGGGTAAAGCGTCCTTAAAGTACTCTATTTAGTGTTCTAGTAAAAGCAGAAATAAGTCATTAAAGATTTCTTCTCCCTCTCAGTGGAATACTCCATCTTGATCTGCCATGGTACAACTCCTGTCCGCTCCAGTGGGAATGTGTTATGCCACCTGAATAAAAGCCATAAAGGGAGACTGAGACGATAGATTGAAAAAATAAAAAAAGAAATGTACAAAAATTTCAGCCAGTGCTACCACCAGAAGCAGCAATCACAGACTTTCTTCTTTCTTCTTCAGCCAGTCAGCACTCCCCACCACCACCACTTTTCTTTTTTTAAACCAGTACAGCTGTTTGAACTGGGAAATAATCCAGCTGAAGTTCTTTTGGTTTTTGATTGCCCCAGGAAAAAAAAAAAGGAAAAAAGAGAAAAAGAAAAGCGAGAAAAACCCCAAACCAGCCCTTTTCTCCCTCCTGAAAGTAAGTCCTTGTGACTACACCTGTTTGCATTTATGAAGACTTCAACCAAATTTTAAATAGAGCAAGATACAGCATGAAATTTTCAGGAGGGTTAAATTACTTCTGAACTACTCCCCTGTATCTTTTGGACCAGGGTCTATTTAGATCCTTTAGACATAACATTTTTCTATGCTTAAGCATGAAGCATACAGATGCAACACTGACCATCATGTGTGCTTGGCTTTCAGATCTGTACGTGTATGCAGTCTTTGTGTGTTCAGTAGGAATCATCAGCGTCCTCCTTTTTACACTTGTCATTCTCTGCCAGTCACTCCTGAACAAGAGGAGATCCACAGGTGAGTGAAATGTCATTCTAGCCGACTGCAAGGCCCAAAGAGGGGAGGTGGAGAAGGGGGATGCAGAAAATGCAGGGAAGACAAATATCTGCTTGCCTTGATTTTAATAAAAACAAACAAAAAAATTATTGGTAGAAAAGACCATTTCTGCTAGGAAAACTAGAACAAAGGCATTTTGCTCCCTTTGAATAGCTATTTCACTTTAAATTTGCTTTGGACTTCAAAATTTTTCAGCTTTGCATAAACATAAACTGGAGGTTTTTGGAACTGCTTTCAAAGAAGACCTAGTGCTGTATCATTAAATTGCATTCTGACCAGATTTACCTAACATTTTGCATGAGTGACATTTCTGCAAACAAGTTTAGAGGTTGTCTTCTGTTCTGTTTTCTTCTCCCTTTCTGACTAGCGGTCAGTATTCTTGGGAAAACAGGGGTTGCTATTAGCACTCTCCTTTGTAGCGTTCTTTGAAACTAAAGCATCATTTGTCATTCAGGTGTGCAATTTCATAATAATCTTTCAAGGTCAAGGATTACCATTTCATGCTTCTCTTCCTCAGAGAAGGTTTCTCAGAGAGGCTAAACCTGCATGAAAGCAGCCCTTTTGTAGCCAAAAGTGCTATTTCAGATCTGTGCAGTAGCCAGTGCAGGCTCTGCTTTCGTTTTGGTTTAAGAGTGGTTTATCTGGAGACCTCACACAAGCTGTGAGTCTGAGATACCAGCATTCTTAGCAATTGCCACATTAGAGGAAGGCGTAAGGACCATGTGTGAACAGAAACTTTCAAAAAGAGTTTGGTTAGTGATTTGGCCTGTTGATGACAGGAGCGAATCGTGACTTTGCTGCCTCTTCAGCACTACACACGTATCACGAAGGAATGAGTGACTCAGATACATGAGGGAGAAGACATGTAAGCCAGAAATAGATGTATACAGAAGTCCTTGCCTGACCACAAACACATTTCAGGCTGTGGCTCCACCTTCCCAGTAGTGTTCTCAGTAGAGTAACTGTGATTCTAACTGAGTGCAACAGCTCTGCCTGCCAACAGGAAGGAGCAAGATCAATGTTATTCTTACTACGCTGTTAAGTGATGACACAAGTTTTGTGCCAAGGGAGTACCCACACTTAAGTATGTTGGTCATGGTGAGTCACCCTGAAGCCACAATCACTAGACATACTGATTTATCCTGTTTTTTTTCTTGAGCAGACATTGGCTAGATTTTGCTTCTGTTTTTGTTGATTTATACTGGTGTAAGCATACAAGCAGCTTGGAGAAAAGGTCTCTTTACATTCATCCAACAGCAGTTAAATATAGAAATAATACAGAATACAATATAGAATAAGCATATATAACAGAGAAAAAGTAATTTCTTCTGAGCTGCTAAATCCTTTCTTCGCTGCCCTAATATATGAATAATTGCAGGCTTCACCAAATTTTTATTGAGATTTTAAACATTATCCAGTAAATGCTGACAGCATTAAACTTATGGATTCAATGGAAATAGAATAAAGCTTAGTAGGCAGGTACTTGGTATGCAACAGGTAAGATTTTCAGGCAAGCCTTTCAGCTAGGACCACCTGATCAGAATATTTTCTGGAGCCACATTAATTGTGTCAGCATTCAGTTAAGCATCAGGGAATTAAAATTTGTGAAGCAGCAGTAGAAGAAGTGTCAGTGATAGATGCAGTCTCCACCAGCCCTGTATTGCTTTTGCTCCCCACAGCCACTGGGCCATGGCAGCAAGCTCAGCCCTGAAACTCTGCCCTAGGGAGCAGCAGTTCCCTGGGGGGTGCTTTCTGCACTCAGCCGTGTGGGCACAGGGCACAAAGAGCCCCCTCCTCTCTCAGCACTCCTCCCTCCAGAGGCGTCTTCCAGGGGTTACGATCTGACCACGAGGTACCCACCCTGTCAGCCAACAGCAGTGGTCTCTCATTCAGACTGTTAGAATAAGGTATCTCTCCTCAAAAAATGATATCTTACCTCTTCTCCATCGTTGGCGCTCTGTACCTCCATGCTGGGCTGGACTGGGCAGATCCTGGTATTCACGTGAGAAGAGCCTGCAGTGTCATGAAGTCCATCCTTCCTTAACGAATGGAGCAAAGACAGGGCCAGCAAAATAATCCTCCCTCTGTATCACTCTGAGCCTCCAGGCACTGCCTTCTTCCACCTTCAGTGAGGTGATTGCTACATCATCTTCCTTGGAGGCCATCCGAGAGAAACCTAACTCTGCTCTTCTCCTTGAGACTACCTCCTTACCTCATCTCTGAATGGAGTTAAATCCAGTTGGCGGCCAGTCACAAGTGGTGTTCCCCAGGGCTCAGTTTTGGATCCGGTCTTGTTTGACATCTTTGCCAATGATTTGGATGAGGGGATTGAGTGCTTCCTCAGTAAGTTTGCAGATGACACCAAGCTGGGCGGGAGTGTCAATCTGCTTGAGAGTAGGAAGGCTCTGCAGAGGGATCTGGACGGGCTGGATCGATGGGCCGAGGCCAACTGTACGAGGTTCAACAAGGCCAAATGCTGGGTCCTGCACTTGAGTCACAACAAGCCCATGCAACTCTACAGGCTTGGGGAAGAGTGGCTGCAAAGCTGCCCGGTGGAAAAGGACCTTGGGGTGTTGGTCGACAGCTGGCTGAACATGAGCCAGCAGTGTGCCCAGGTGGCCAAGGAGGC